AGCGAACGAGCAGGGCACTGCCGCCTGTGCCCCAGGTGGCACCCCGGCCGCGGGGCGGGAGGGACACAGGGGTTGTCCCCACAGTGTCTGCAGTGCCGGGCTCCAGAGACACGGAGGCGGTTTCCTGGTTCACCCCCCGCAGGGCCCCGTGGACCACCGTGGGGTGCAGCTCTGCGTGGTGCCTGCTGCACGTCCATCCGGGGGTCTGCGTGACTGCAGTCACCCTCAAGCTCATGACCTGGGAAGTTTCACGACATTGTGCCCGACTCCATGTCCTACGCTGGGCGTCCTTTACATCGGCCTGTACTTCCTACAATGAAGTGTGTGTGGGGGGGGTCTGCAGCAGGCGGTCGCTCAGGGAGCTTCAGGAAGTGCTGCCTGCGTGCACCTCACGAACCTGTGCAGACGCACAGACGCTGCCTCCAGTGGAGGAGGCGTCACTCACCAGGCGGGACATGTCTGCAGCTCAGCCACATCGGACCCCACGCAGCTCACCTCCCTGGGGGTCCCTGCCTGAGACCGAATGCTGAGCGCTGCAGGGACAGAAAAGTGGTGTGTGTGTGTGTGTGCCTTGCCCGTGTGTGCGCCTGTGTGTGCATGTGCGTGTGCCCGTGTGCGCCTGTGTCCGTGCCCGTGCATGCATGCATGTGACTGTGTGTGCACGCATGTGCGCCTGTGTGCATGAGCGTGCGCCTGTGTGTGCATATGTGTGCATGTGTGTACCTGTGCATGTATGTGCGCCTGTGCATGTGTGTGTATGCGTGTGTATGTGTGTGCACGTGTGTGGTTAGAGCCACAGGTAATTGTAAACCTCTACTCTCCACCGCGGAACAGCACACCTAAAGTGTTATTAATTTTGAAGAGGTAGCTTGACATGTGGAAAAGGTGTCACTGACTCTTGTCTGTGGGTCTTGCCTGAGCTTCAGTTTCTTTAAAAAATGTTTTTATTGATTTTTAGAGTGAGAGGAAGGGAGCGGGAAAGAGATAGAAACATCAATGATGAGAAAGAATCATTGATTGGCTGCCTCCTGCACACCCCCTACTGGGGATGGAGCCCACAACCTGGCCCTGTGCCCCGACCAGGAATCCAACTGGCAACCTCTTGGTTCCTGGGTCAACGCTCTGCCACTGAGCCACACCAGCCGGGTGCCTCAGTTCCCACATCTGTGAAAGGAGCCTGGGCCTTCCTGGGGGTTTCACAGAGGCACCTTCAAGGGACCTGTGTCAGTCAGACCAGCAGAGCCGTGGAACCTGGGGTGGGCGTGGCTCCCACGCACTCTAACTCGTGGCAGCCTGAGGCCCAGGTCACATGCATGGTGCCAGGTGCACCCAGGAAGCCCACGGCCAGCACCCACTTCCCACCTGTAGACACATGGCTGCAGACGGTCCCACACAGACCAGGCATTCCCAGGCTACCGAGCCAGCGGCGGAACAACAGAAGCGAGGGGCCCATGGGGGGCTGTTTAAAGTGGGAGAGCAAGTGTCACATGCCACCCCACCCCACTCAATGTGGAGGCCAGACCGACAGTCACCTCTGCTGTAAGGAGCGACCTGCACGGCGAGGCCAATGCCCCTCCGGCAAGGAAAGGCGCGTCTGTTAGAGAAACGGGGCTCCGTCGGGGCAGCTGTAACTCGCAAGGTCCTGTGGACTCACTGCTGTCCACCGTGAAGCACGGGGGCGGGGGGGTTCTGTCTGAGAATCAGGCGCACAGCCACCGCGGGCGACTCCCGCACCCAAAGCACCGGAAGCCGGAGACGAGTGAGGCCTCTGAGGCCCTTGAGGACCATCTTCCCGCAGCCTACGCTGCTCTTGCAGCTGAGAGATAAGCCTGGAAGACCCCAGGGATGAGCAGCCTCAGAGGAAAGGAACATCTTGGCCTACGTTCAGAATTCCAGTTTTTACAGTTTGCTTTAAAACAGATGTAACCAGGTTTTCAGAAAGGTCTGTGGTACATGCGTCTGAGCTAAAAACACAGGACAGATGCCCAGAAAGCACGGGCACGGGAGAGAACTTTCCAAAGGGCAGAGCCCCAAGCAGCCCCAGCACCGGGTTAAATCAAAGCCCCAACACGCCGCGCGGAGGTGGCGCACAGCAGCGACCGTCCTGCAGCAGCTGCCCCCGTGGGCCTCGGGGCGCTGCACCCTAAGACAAGAGCAACGCGTCAGGAAGCCAACTGGAGGCCCGTGGTTGGAGCTGCGTGGAGGCAGCTTGTTGGCTCCCTGAGGGAAAGGTAGCTGAGACCCTCCGTCTCCCATCCCTGCAGGTGCTCGCTCGCGCACCTGGAAGGAAGAGGGGAGCAGGCGGGAGGGCACGGTGTCTTTAGGAAGAGGCTGACGGTCCTGTCATGTGATCTGCAAGTTTTCCTGTCACGACTCTCAGGTGGTCTGAGCAGGGGAGATGGTCAGAGAAGAAAGTTCCTTCTGAATCAGAGCTCACGTGAAGCCTCATTGTCATCAGCCCCGCTGACTCGTGACAGTTTTATTCTATTTCTGGGCCTGGGGTCTGGTGAACTGCAGGGTTGGACCTCACCCAGGGAGGCAGCTTGAAGAACACCGTGCAGCACCCCGAGTGTGTGGGGCTGGGCTCCAGCCTCGGGGACTCCTGGCCGGCGTGACCCTGGCCTGTCCCCTGGGAGTCACTTTCCTTGGGCTGTGCCCACCTCCCTGAGCCACTGACCTGGGCTTTCTCTGTCGGACAGACCAGGGGCCGGAGAGCAGGAGCTCCAGACGCCAGTGGCCCTCACGTGCACGTCACATTCTGATGTGCACCGTTTACACGTTGTACACAATCAGGAATGACGCTATTGACTTCTTTTCCAGAATATTCACAACGTGTGGCTCTGGGTGAGCACCGAACTAGGCATCATCTTGGGGTGTTTAAGAGGTTTGAGGACCCAAGACCCAAAGTTTATCTGGCAGAGTTGTCAGTCCGTGACCAAGAGTGTCCGGTTAGTGGCCAGCTGGTGTAACGTCAGTGTGAGAAGGGACAAGAGGACTCGCTCCAGGAAGTGCTTTCTCAGCAGGTGCACGTGGAGGTGCTCTCTGCAGGAGGCGGGGCCCCACTGTCTCACGAGACGTGGGAGCCGCTGCACCACGGCCAGTGCCGGTCACGCTCTCCACCACGGAAGCGGCTTTGAGAACACGCGTGAAGAAGCTCGGACCAGAGCCCGGCCTGATTTCTCTAGAGGGAGCTGCGTGACCTCCCGATGGACAGCGGCCTGGGACTCAGGTAAGAGGAGTGGATGGGAGAATCACAATTCCAAGGAGAAAGGAAACCATGTACCCTACGGACAGCTGGAAAAGACCAGTGAGAACTGCTTATTTCAGCATTACACCTTTATTGTGTACATTTAATCGAAGATCCAACGATAAACACAAACCATCCAGAAAACTGGTCACGTTTAGGTTTCTAAGAAAGAGAAACCATGCACTGGTTACAAAGACAAGCCTGGGAGCGAGTGTGGCTGTCAGATCAGCCGGATGAGGAGACAGCCCCTCTGGATGGCGAGGCCCTCGGGGAAGAAGCGGACGAGGGAAGGGCAGCGCCTCCCTCTGAAGATGCCGATGGCGAGGACGCCATCTTCCAAGATGAAACAGGAGGAGGCAGGCAGCCTGGAGCTTCAGATCCACAGAAACTTCTAAGCCCACAGTCAAGGGATGCAAACCAGTGCTAACCAGACCTGCAGAACACTACTCTGGCCTCTGGGTCTAGATGCGGCATTAGGCGCGAGCTGTGGGAAGGCCACGGTCCCGGTCACAGCCGGCCTGTGGGGCGGGAGCTGGGCCAGACTTCTGCCAAGTGTCCTCATCACAGAGTCAAAGGGAAGTGCCTTCGAGGCGCTGGCTAAGGTCCAGGGGCAGTGACCCACGTCCTGGCCAGGAGAGAAGCATGGTTTCAAGCTATGAAAAAAGAGGCCGGAACCCAGCGGGCTGAGCTGTTCTTGCTAATCCTGTCCACTGGGAGGCACTGTGGAGGATGCTACGGGCTTTATGGCCGCCGGGAAGAGGGCGCCTCTGCTGTTTACACGCCATGAAGAAGACTGGTGGCCGGAGGGCTAGTTCAGAAGGTCACTGAACATGAGCAGGTGGTCTACGGCGCTAGGGCCCTGGACAGGGGTCCTGTAAGAAACGACATGAGTGAACCGAGCCCCACACCGGACAGCCTGGTCGGCGCAGCGGTCGCGGGTCTTGGGAAGGAATCACGCAGGGTCAGCAGACAGCATTTTCTCTAACGGGTCACACAGCCATTTCCTAGCGAGAAGGAAGCCAAGCAGTGTGGCCCGAGGGCACCGAGGACAGCACGGGCCCCTGGTTTCCTCACGTCCACCCCGCGTCCACTCCAGCGAGAGCCCCGTCGCGCGGTGCCCTTCCTAGTACCTGCGCCCACCTCGTCCACAGTCTGCCGGGAACTGACCCGGCTCATCACGTGTGTGCACTTGAGGCATAAGTGCCGGAGACCAGATCATGTTTAAAATATAGAAAAATTACAGACACAGAGGAGCAGGAGATGCAGCCGCTAGAGGGATGCGTGTGTGAAGGCCTGAGTCGCTGTCTGAGTGTCGGTGACTCTGACCGCTGGGAACCTGAGGGGCTGGCTGGTACCCTGTAGCTTCCTGTCACAGTGCTAGTGAACGTCTAAGCGTTAAGTAATCACGTGAACTACTGACTCTCAAAACGTCAATTTTTGACTTTTAAGTTTTTGTCTTTTCTTAAAAGTCTGAGAAACCCTGTGGAACCTCCCTTCCCTGTGCACGCACACCTGCCGGAGAGCACAATGTGCTTTGGGAAAATGGAGACAGAAAGGATACGACTGAAAGAACTAGAGACAGACGAGAGGGGAGAGCAGAGGGAGCTGCTGGGAAGGGACTACATCCCGAGGACCCAGGCATGTGCTGCTGTGCACGTGGCTTCGTAAAGACATTTTCTTTTCAGACGACACCTCCGTTCTGTCCCTGCTCAGTGAGCAGGCTTCTAAGGAGGACGATGCCCATCAGTCTTACTTGAGTTCCTGCGAGCTGGTGGCCAGCATGCTCCGGATGCTCTTGTCAGCCAGCGGGCAGCCCGACAGACTGTAAGACAGGCCAGAGAGTCCGTGAGGAGCCTCCACCAGCTGGCGCTCCGAACAAACACACACAAAATTGAAATTAAAGTTTAATGCAGAAAAGCGATGGGGCAAGTGCTGTATGTTGACTTTTTATAATTAACTCTGCATGTAAATTTAAGAAAACAGGTCTGTTAAGTCACTTTTTAAAAAAGATAAAAATATTAGTGCTCTTTGGTTGAAATGTAAAGAATTTCCCCAATTTAGGCAGCTTATTTTCCAATAAAGCACATTCCACAACACACCCATCAGCACATGGTGCAGGTCAACATGGAGCACTGCGCGGGGCACACACAGTCGACGGGGGGACTGGGACAGCATTGTTGAGGTAAGCTGAAAACAATAAATTGGAAAGACAGGATCCACCATGAGGAAAATGAAGGCACACCTTCTATGTGAGGCGTAATTACCAGTCACATGACCACTCCCATCACACCTGGGTGTTGGACATCTGCCACCAAACAAAAACAGAAACAGCCAGAATAGTAAGTGTGTTTAAAAAACTTGTAAAAAGTTTCATTGTTTCCAGTTTAGCTGCAATGTCTGCAAGGGGTTGGGCCCTGGAGAAGCTGTGGGTGTGCGCCTGGATGAGGACGGCGGCTCCGCGGCCAGAGCGCGGGAACACACGCGAGGCCACGTGGCGGTCGCTCTGCCGCCCTGGCCGCTGGGGACATCTACACGCTGCGGATGTCGCATGCTCAGACGGCAAGGCACGCACAAGCCGGTTTTAAAGTAGCAGAGAGAGGGCGCGAGGAGAGGGAGCCACGCCAGGCTTACGTTATCAGGTCCTTCTTGCTCTCCTTGCACTGCGGGTACTTGGGCTTGGGGCTCGGGATGGTCACCTCCCCGGGGTACCTCCTGTCTTCCAGGGCGTCCTGGAAGGGGTCCAGGTCCTCCGGCTGTAGGCGAAACAAGCGTCAGCCACACCGAGGGCGGCTCAGTGCACAGGCAAAGGCCGTCCCCGCGGGCACTGCCTCCCACTTCCCCTCTCCCGACCTTCCCTTTACAATCACGTTACCTCTTTTCCCTCTGAAAATGCAGACTGAAATTTGTTCAGTCTCCCTTTGGGGCTGGCCCTTAAGATCGCATCTGCTCTAGACCCTGGAACTCCGGGAGCTTGTCACGGGCAGGGCCTTACACACAGAGGGACAGAAGTGGTCTGGACACAGGGACGCCTCACCCAGCGCCCCACCTCCACAAGGGAGCGCGGTGCTTGAGCCACAGGCCGCGCCATCCCCATGCTGCCTGCACGCTTCAGGGCTGCACCTGGGGTCTCAGAGCAGCCACTGGCTCCTCACTCTCCCTGGGCCCTCAGCCCTGATGCAGCTTTAAATCCTTCTCAGCGTTTTCTTTTTTATAGGAAGTGGGTCCAAGTGTCGTGACCTAGATACTCCTATAGGTGGCACTGTTGAGCAGACGTTCCCCTGAACAGGAGGTGTTTTCGCTTCTGGCAGGGCAGTGTGCGTCAGGCAATGCTCCGGTCCACTTATGGGGGCTTCATAGTAATGACAGTAAGCTCGGAGCTCCCCCTGCCTGCCTCTGTGGCCCTAATGACTGAACACTGAGGCGGAGGAAGCTCTGGGATTTCGCTCTCAGTCATTCTGAAGAATAAGAACAATAGGCCTTGAGGTGGAAGGGCCTTGCAGAAAGATGCCTTTCCCTCAATCCCTACAAATGGCCCATGTTTCCTTTCTCTCCACCTCCGTGTTTCTAGAGCAGTGGTTCTCAACCTTCCGGCCCTTTAAATACAGTTCCTCATGTTGTGACCCAACCATAAAATTATTTTCGTTGCTACTTCATAACTGTCATGTTGCTACTGTGATGAATCGTCATGTAAATATCTGATATGCAGGATGGTCTTAGGCGACCCCTGTGAAAGGGTCGTTCCACCGCCAAAGGGGTCGCAACCCACAGGTTGAGAGCCGCTGTTCTAGAAGATGCTATTGCTTTCATGTGGTCTTCCCACTGCATTAAAACAAATGTTCATTTTTCAGTGAATAGAGAAAAATGTTATGACTTTTAGGATTAAAACACTATAGAGAAAGGTCAGGCCAGTAAAAAACAAGTTTTTCATTTCTTTCTTCAGTCTAAAGAATATTATAACTATTTAATAAGCTGAATTTGAACATTATAACGACTTTAAAAACAGGTTCTTGCCAGAGGTGTTTTGGAAAATGTGGATAAAGGCTCAGGTGACGACGGAGCTACATGGCCCTCAGGGCTGGGCCTGCTCTGCGCTCCAGGTCCTCAGAGAGCAGACCCCCCTTGGCTCCAGAGCTGCGCGGAGGCGCCTCTGCGTTAGGCAGCGGGTCCCCCGAGAGGGGCTGGCCTGCTGCTGACACATTTTCTCAGAGAAACTGTTTGTAAGAAAACACACTGTTTAGAATACAAAGTTCATCCTTCAGAGAAGTCAGTGGTTTGTTTCACCAAATCCATGCTGGTCACAAGTCCTTCCTGAGTCAACAGCCATGTGCCTGGAGCCTCACTAGCTACGGGCACAGGAGGGAGACAGCCCTCCCAGGCGAGGGCAGCGCACGCCTCCCAGGACACCAGCTGGGACCGAGGCAGTGGCTCGGGGGGAGGGGGACGG